TCACTGTCAAAATGCAGGTAATGTGTGGAAGTACACTGAAGGGCTAAAGAATAATAAACCAGAGTATCTCTCATTGCTGGAAGGTACAGAGCTGCATCTTGTAGCCAAGGGGGAGACATCAGTGCAGAGAAACAGATAATGTTCTGAGCTCCTGACCCACTCTACTTTCCTTTAAACATATAAAATATTAAGTGGAAAAGAAAAAAATCCCCTTGGAAGGAGAGACGAGGCTTGCTCACCCAGCAGAGGGCTACCTGAGCCAAAACCACCCTGCCGGGCAGCGAATGCAAATCCCTGTTCTGCACTCAGATCCCTGTTCTGCACTCAGACTCGCAGCTCAGACTCACGGCGCACAACATGCTCCACCTGCAAGCAGCTGAGGTGAACCAAAATTAACCCAAAACAAAGGATTGCTCAAATAACTTGTCTGGCAGTGTATCTTTCTCCCAGGGAAAATGAAAATCAGCAGTTATGATAATGCTATTCTGTGATTGGCGTGTGCTGCGGCCACAGGCAAGCAGTTAAGCCTGAGCAGAAGCGATTATTAGTTGAGTTAGGGAGTACATCGGCCAAAAGTCACCCAGAGCATCATAAACAGGTCCAAAGGAGACACCCTTCGGCTCTGCGGCTGCATTGCAAAGCCTGGGGAGGGAGATGCATCAAACCATTACGGTGGCAAAAGTGGGGCCTGAATGAATTGCTTTGACCCTTCCAGGGGGTGAAGGTAGCCTGCAGGAAAGCTCATGCAGCAAGATGTCCCCATCATGTTAAAGGTGACGAGACCAGGTCCAAAGTGGCCAGACGCCATGGTCCTACAGCAGCCAATTTTGGCTTCAGCCCATCATCTCCTGGCCGAAGCACATGCCCCCAAGCTAACTCATTCCTCCTTTCCCCTTCACCAACCTGCAATAAGATCACAAGGCGACGGGACACAATTGGAAGCATTTGTTAGAGAACATCTTCATTTGCACCCAAAACAGAGTTTATCAGAGTCACTCCTGGGCCCTGGATGGATGTTTTGCTCAAACACGCACAGCAGCAGCCCCATGGGCACTTACCTGGGACGTGGAAGAGCATAGGGAAAGCATCGCTTTGAGGAAGAGCCAAGCAGCACATGCAAAGCAGAAGAGCTCTGGCACAAGACTGGGAAACCCTTCTTACCCCCTGGGCCTGGAGACTGAAGAACAACAATGCAGAATTGGGCAGATCCTTCCCAAGTTAACTCCTACTGGCTTTTTCTGGTCAAAAATAGGGCAGAAAATGAACAAGGTGGGCTGCTCTATGCCCACCTATGCCTAGACACCAACTGTCTGCCAGCAAGAGTAACCACCAGGGCCAAGATGATGCTGCTGAAAACCATCCGCAATCAAGTTGGGGGATTCCTGCCTGCTCCCAAACCTTGCTAGAGATGTGCTTATTTATTTAAACAAGGCTGCAGAATGGATGTGCAGAGGGCGTTATGCCCAAATCCTGGTGCTCACCAGCATTTCCCACCAAGCCTACAGCACACGTGGATAACCAGTGGCAGAAATGACATTAAGAGGATGCACCAGTGCTGGAAAATCAATGTTAATTTTCTACAAGGAAGATGCATATTCCTGCTCATGGGAACGCCACACTACATGATGCAAAGGGTTCATCTCTATTTTGGATGCCTGGCTGTGGAAGGAGTCCTTATCAAATGGTCAAAAAGAAGCCATAAATCCTTCTGGCAAATATTTGCTGCCAATATCTGCTGAATTGGACAGGAAAAGTTGCCAAAACAGTAACTTGTGGTGGCTTGTCTTCAGGGAGCACTCCGATACTCCAGCACCAGAAAAAGGATAAGCCAACAGGCAATACACTGAGCTGCCCCCTGAATAAAAGCAGGAGGGGGGAGGTTGATGGGGGTTAATTGCTCTTTTCAGAGTACAGAAAAGCAAAGGATCCTTGCCGTTGCTTGGCTCATGCTCCTCAAAAAACTCATGGCTCTGTATTTTAATTATTAAAACTTTCCCCACCTGGAAGGACTAAAAGCTACATCAAGATGGATCTCAACAACATCAAAGTCCCCGCTCCTAGCAAAGATCTTGGTTTCTGTTTGTCCAGGACCCAGACAATTGCCAGGTCCTTCTCCACCTTAAGCTGTCCTTTTCCAGCCTTTTCTGGTGGAGATCACTCTTTCAAATCTCATCCTCCTGTCTGTCCTCCTACAGACGCCCTCAAACTAAACAACTCCATGTTCAATTACCAGTCAAGAGAAGAGGGTTTTACTGGCACAATGTGGAAAGAGCCATTAGCTCTGTTTGCTTTGATCAAGGCAGCACAACACCGGATTTCAGCTCTTTTACCGACTTCTTGCTCCACGCTGGCACAAGTTTGCTGTGCTCACCTCTCTGATGGGCATCAATGGTAAAGGTCCACGTGCACCCAAGCAGCACAAGCTTCGCTACCCAACGTAGCACGCAATGCACCCATGCACCAGTGCCCCAGGGCAAGAGGACGAGGTACATGGCGGGTCAGCCTCTAATTGGGAACAGGATTGCCCCTGGAAGTTGCGCAAGGATCTCACCCAAGAAATACAAAGTTCAAAAGGCAAGCGTGGGTGCTCAAAGTCTCCAGGAGGCCACCACCACCCCTTGGCTACACTTCTCCAGAAAGCAAAGACCAAAGAATCACTGTAGAGGTACCATACCCCAGTGGTTTTGGGGAAACACAGCTCAAGTGCTTGACGGTGGGAAATTTGGGATCCCCAATACTTAGCACAATGCTAAACAATGAGCGGTTGCACTCCTCACATCGCTCCTTGCAGCGTTAGCGCCATCACAAGCCATCACCCATCTTAAAAAGCTGGTGCTGCCAAGCAGATATTCACAGGGAAGGAGAACAACAAGGCAGCACAAGCGCCACAGTTTGGAGTTAACACTGATGCACAACAATTTCATCCCGTATCTATTCCCTTGGTCCCCTCCTCCAGGCTAGGCAGCACCCAGAGCAACGCCACACTGCTGAGCTCCACATCCCTGCTTGCCCAGACTTATTTCTCAAGACAGCATGCTTTACCAAAGCACAACTCTGCTGTGAAAAAAATGAAACCATATTTAGCAAGATCCATGCAGTAAGTCAGACACTACAATGCAGAATTCAGCAGATTCCATTTAATGTCATGTGCATATATCCATACATTTGCTTATGTCAATGGTTTTGATGTGCGTGATGCCAGGTCTTGAAAAATCTACTAATTCATTTACGTCTGGGAGCGTGAATTCTCTCAAGCAATCACCTCATGATGGGTTTGCTTTTTTTAAAAATTGACTTTCAACCACATAGTTGCAAATATAATACCGTGAATTGAAAGTAAAGCATGCAGAGCTGATCCCTAAAACTCACAGGCAGCTCTGCAAAGGCTGTTGCAAAGGGTTTTGCCAAGAAGCATGGGACGTGAAGAAGTCCCCCCCCCTCCCAGGGAGAAAAAGAACTGATAAGAAACAGGTTAGTCTTATTTAGCATCCCAAGCAACAGCGAGGCAAAGCAGCAGAAGTAACACCCCATCAATTCTTCAAGGAAGATTTTGGCCAAGGCTGAGGAACAGGGCAGAGAAGTAGAGCTAAACCATCCCCTCCAAAAAAAGGAAAAGAAGAAGGAAATGACACTTCCACCACCACATACTCACAGAAATTTAACTTTTTTTTTTTTTTGGTCATTTAACTAACAGGACTGATACATCCTGGGGTCATGGATGTTTACCCTACAATGTGTTCCGTCCCAGCAGTTTTGGGGTAGATTTTTCAAGCCCTGGTGATGGCTCCCAGGAAGGCTTCTCCCATCCACTCCCGGATGATCAGCATCTATTGCATAGCATTTATTTCAGATAAGGCACTGTTTTGCCCAACGTGAACAGCAATTCAAAATCAATGCAGTTTCCATACAGTCCAAATTTGATGGCCTACAGTGCAATAACAAATAAAATTAAAGGCAAGGTCTGGAAGAATAAACCCAGCTTTAAATTTAAACTTAATATTAAAAAGATAAAGGAAACTACATTTTTCAAAAGCCTTTTTATTTTCCTTCACCATTGTTGTTTTACAATACAAATATCACCTTGTGAATACACAAAAACCCTACAGAAGATAACTCTGCTTCACGTAAAATACAGAATGGATATATATATATATATATTTATATATATATTTTCTCTTCTTCATTCTTTAAAAAAACTATTTTGTTCTGCACATTGGCAAGTTTAGGATATAATACTTCCCCAAACATACAGTATGTATGGTAGGAGTGAAACTTATAATTACATGCAGTTTCTGCACAAATATTTTAAAGAAATAGATTATCTTTGTTGTTTTTCAACAACATTTCAATACAGGATGGAGAAACCATTTGTAGTTCACTCAGTGATCATTTGTAAAATTCTTAAAAAACAGGAATTCATGGCTGTTTTTCTTTTTAAAATACAGCTACCAAGTAGACAATAAAGTGATACCTTTTAGTTTGACCGGCCCACAATGTGTGAGCAAGATCGGACCCTTTTAATTTGTTTTTTTCCCCCTACACATGGCAACTTCAACATTATAAGCAAATTTCCAGTTTAATTTAGCTATAAATGCAAAAATTAGTAATTATACAGTATATATAATTCTGCTTTCATGGAATACTTTATTTTAAATAAAAACATTTAAGACTGCCTACTGACCATACAATCAAGACAAGAAAGGCACTAGAAACATAGACAAATCTCTCTCTCCCAAGAAGCATTTTCTTCAAATTTTAACTCTCTATTCTCTGACATGTAAAAATCTTTTTAAATTTAATTTTCATACACATTTTGAAAAATAAAGTTAGGAAATACTTAGAAAATCACTTTACAACTTTTTTTTTCTTCTTTTTTCTTTTTTTTTTTTTTTTTTTTTTTTTCCACTTTTTGACACAGTCACTGCAGATTCTACAAAATCAAGATTACCAAATCTTCCTGTGTCTATCATCTTAGTTGTAGCATGGTGCAACAAGTAGAAAGATTTCTCGATTTTACCCAAGGCAGGTATTTAGAAACCTTCATATAGTCATTTGCTAGAAAATGGCTTACAGCCCAATCTTCGGGGCAAGAGATATGAAAAGTATGTTTTCCCAAGAAAATAATATGCTTTATTCCCAGACGTGACTGGAAAGACCAGAACTTATGATATAAAAGCTCTCATTTATGCTGTCGCATCATATACAAAGGAACATGGTGATGGGTAAATGTAAATCCCAAATCTATTAACAAGAAATGTATAACAGTGCATGGTAAGTTAAATTTTCTTTATTGTTGTCCAACGCAGATCCTTTGGAGAGAAAAAAAGATCACAGTGCTTACCAGGTAACTGAATAGGTTAAGTCAAGGGAACTGTTAAAAGAAAGGGTTAGGGAGCAGTTGATTTTTTTATGGCATATTCTCGTTCGGAGTTCTTAGCACTTGGGACAGGTCCTTTCCCCCCCATTTTGTCCGTTGACACGCTGTTATGTGTCATTCACCAAGCGGCTGTACTTCACCTGCCTACCCCGGTGCAGCACTGGCCAGGGGAAGGGCCAGTGGTAGGAGCGAGGTACAATTCCTTGGACATTCTTTTCAAAGTACTGGAAGGGCTTGTACCACCAGACCCTTGCAAGGAGGTTAGTTTGGGAAGCTTCTTTTAGCACCTGCACAAAGATAATCAGAAAAAAAGAGAATTACAAAAGAGCACGTCACTTACTTGCATGACTTCACTGCACGTCGCTTACTACTGTTCATCAGTGGTGTCTTGCTTACAGCTGCTTCCAAAAATCTCTCGATATCTAGAAACACCTCCCAAACATCTGCATGGACGAAGATCAAGAGGAGCCAAGCTATTTTTCCATAGCCTCCCTGCACACACCAAATGTTGCTCCCAAGTGAGGCTAACCCTCGTTTCCAAGACCTCAACTGTTCTGTGGTCCCATAAGAAAAGCATGAATGGTCCAAAAGGTCACTCTCCTCTCCTTTGGGAATGAAAAAAAAAAACAACACCCAAAGGACAGCTGTTTTCTATAAGTATCTCTGAAATTAGCTCAAGAATCACTTTGGAGCTCAGCCGTGTGCCTACAGAGCAATGAGCAAGGCATGCCTCAACCCATCTGGAGGAGGTTATGAACCCTGCCCTGCCCTCCATGTGCTCTCTAACAGTCCCCACCCACCCTTTTGCTTCTCCTAGCCCTGAGCAAGCCACAGCTGAGACACAAGGAGCGGGCAGGCACTGAGGGAGTTATCCAACTACCCTGCTGCATGTTTTCAACACCAGAGCAGGGAACCATTATATCAGCCCACCAGAAAGTGCAAGCACGGGGCTCGTATGCTAAGCTTTCTTTTCATGTCATAAACTTACATGTAAAATAAAACCACTTTAGCCCTAGTGGGCTTTTGCTTTTAATTTTAAGGTCAGATACAAGCCACAGCCCCCTGCACATGGAGCAGCACCACGAAGGAGAGACTAGCATACAAATGCATGCTTAGGTAAGGATCCAGGGATCGGCATTTCCCAACATCTCAGCAGGTTAGGGAAGCAACGTTGAGCCATCTTCTGAGTCACACCACGCAGCAAAACAGGTACATTTTCATACAGTAAGGCAAAGGGCTTTCCTGAAGCAAGTCCTCATTAGCACTCAAGGCAATCCTGACTCTAGTAGCCTACAGCTTGGAAGCATGGCCACTCAGCACCATTGTTTTGACGGAGCCCAGGAGCAAATTCAAAGCGTGGAAGTCAGTCTAGTGCTATATAACAAGAGTTACAAAGTCTGGGCACAGATTGCTATTGAACACAGTGGTTCCCAAACTGACTGAACATCAAAGTGCATTCTTTGCAATTAGGCATTTGGTGGTAAAAACGTACCACAGGACTTGACAGTGGTGTATTCTTCAAGCAGTATCAAAGCCACTGGAATAATATGACATGGTAGCTAGAAGACCTTGATATGATCTAAAAATCTGTACCATCACAATATTAACTATTTTCCTTTCATCATACTACGTCTTTCTTAAACATAATTAACTGGAGCCATATGCAACAGATAAACAAAATATCTTTCTCCACATTGCACAGAAAATACTTGGATGCTAATTTGCTGTTACAGACCTAAGAGTAAGTTTCCCTTAACTCACTAGGTCTCTGCCACGGATAACAGACTTGCACATTTTCTCTCACATTCCTCAGCACTGTAAGCTCATCTCTTATTGATCTGGTTCATTGGCAGGAAAGCAAGAACAATGAGAAAGACATGAGACCTCCTTCAGACTTCTTCATTTGACCTTTGAGTCATTTACCGCTGCTCTCTGGTTGAGTATTACAAACCATGCTTTGCTCTCTCCCATCAAGTGCTGTGTCTCCTAAGCAGCTCCTCATTCTCAGCATTTCCCTCATCACCCTATTTTTCATGCCTTCCCAGACACAGGCCTTAGGACAGGAGCAGCCTGTTCTCTGCTGTACTATCCTCCAAAAGGAGAACGTTTCCCTTGGTCAGGGGAACTTACCACCACTTGGAAACACTTTGAAAAACTGGTTCATTTTTAGTGAGGCCTCATGTTATTCTTCAAGAGACCTGTCAGCTAACTAAAGGAGACAAGCCACAGCATACAAGGAAAACCCAGCTGGCTTCAACAAAAACAAAAACAAACAAACAAACAAACAAAAGGATAAAAACCCCACCACATCTAAATGATTTGCTCTGCTATCACAAAACCGGCCAACTGGCCGAAATTCAGAAGGACTTCAAAAACTGAGGTTACACAGTGGAAGCAGAGAGGCCTGCCTGCCTGCAGGCAGACCTTCAGATATTTTTGCAATCCAGATGCAAGATGAACCCAACCGATGACACCTCTTTCTTTCCTGCAAAGTCCATGTGAGGGGGGAAGAGAGGGATGCTCCACAAGACATGGGTGAGTCCACTCCTACTCTTTCAGAAAGGCTCCAGGCAAAGTGTGGATACTCGCCCACCACCATGCTATGGCAAGCAGAGCCACGCAGATCCAAAGACTGGGAGAAACTCACTTGCTGGTTGGCCATTGTGTGATACCACCAGAAAAGTCTTGTAGTGATGTAGTAAGCCACCACCACGTCCACAGTGTAGTGGTCATGAGCAAGGAGGATGCAGAACATCCCCACCACGCTGAGTACCCAGCAAAACCAGTGATACCACCAGAGTCGCCGTGGGGAATCTGGAAAGAAGCACAAGCAGCGATTATTTCAAAGTGTAATGTTATCAGCTTGCAAGACTATTGGTGTAATTAGCAGATGACGTGGACTGCAATCCTGGGCGGGTAGTACGATGCCTGCATTAAGAGCAGGAATAAATGCTGAGATCACAAAATAGTATCGTTCTCTTGAGATGTAACTTAAAATTGTACTCAGGGGTAATCAGATCCTTGGAAAATAGAAAAGTTATGAAATCTCTGAGAAACAGGCCCAATACATAACAATATAATATATCCTGGTCAGCAAAATTAACTGATTTGTATTTCAATATTGATTCTACATAGATAGCCATCCATTCCTCTTGCCTTTCATAAAAGATAAATGCATACATTAAGGCCTGATTCTTGCAAAATGAGCAACCTTGCATTTAGCATGGCATTCTTCTCTCTAGACTAGGAGACACATAGTTGAAATACCATTCATCAGGCAGGGTGCAATGAAGGTTTCAATTATATTCTAAACAAAAATTTTTTTTAAAATAAAATGCTTAATTCATACATCTACATGGTAAAGTGTTTTATTTTGTCTCCAAAGTTTTCTTTTTTAGTAAGCCCTATGTCTTTGAAGTTCTATTATTTTTATTTAATTGTAAAAGCGTGCATTTTTACTTTAATTGTATTTACCCATCAGCACAACAATAATTATTCAATTAGCAAGGAATTATACAACAGGGAATTCCACATGAACAGTAACAAACTTACACTCTTTGATAAATAAGTATGTAAGAGTTAACATGACGGTGTGACCGCTGTAGAGATAGTCGCCACACATGTTGTGGGATCCTGTGATGGACAATCCTCCGCCAGCAATCAATTTCATTATCCTTCGCAGATGAGATTCCCAGTCTCCAAAAAGCTGGTGGAAGAGTAAAACACAGAAGCACAGTAAAATATCAGCGTTAACCTTTCAGAGTTTAAAGCAATCGTGTTAGCCAGCAACTTTGCCTTTCAGTTATTCTCTCTTTTTGCTTTGATACACAAGATCAATCAGTAAATCCACAACCTTTTCCAAAAGCTAGCAGAACATTTCTAGAGGGAAAAAGACTGGAAATGAGACATGAGTTTATTTTTTTAACTGATGCTTTACATCTATTATATCTAGTGTTCATGTGAGCACAGGCTATATGCACCTCCATCCATTTGTCTAAAATATTATTTTATTTGAAGTATTCAGTGTATGAAGAATCAAGAAAATCATTACAATTTCCCTATAAATACAATATCCCAAAGGACTACTGTTTATTCCTACGCTCACAATATAGATTGAAAAGGCATGGAAAAAAGGCAATTTTATTTACACACCTATTTGTGTGTATGTGTATATAGTAAAAGCCCTTTACACCAGGTCACTTCCAGTTGCAATGAAAAACACAGCATCTTTTCAGTATACCAAAGCAAAAAACTGGTCCAAAAGTTGTTAAACTCCTGTCAGTGGCTACACTCAGAGCGCTACACTTACAGTAAAACAGGTAGGTGAGCAAAAATTGTTTTCGATGTTATTTATAAGTATTTATTGCTGCTACCATGTAAAGGTGTAACCTTTCTCCCAGGTCTTGTTGGCAGCCTTTGTTAATGTTCATGGCTGTGCAGGAAAATGATTTTTAGTGGGAATCTTCAACCAGAGCTAATCGGTTCAGATCTCTTTTTATTCATTATATTCTTGCACGGGGATATACAATGGGTGTGTGTATATATGTGTGTGTATAAATATATATATATATATATATATACACACAGTGAGGTTCAGAGTAATGACGCCTGGAAAACCTACGACTTCTGTAATAGTGTCACAAACCAGTTTCACCAATAAAAAGGAATTAAAAATATCTAGCTATAGCTAGAATTTTGTCACATTCTCTAAACATTTGTTTTTCCTTCTGTTCAAGAGGCAATGCACCCTAAAAATAAATCAAGCTTAATTTAATTCATCTTGTTCGTAACAGTGCAGGCCCTACAGATGATATTCCAAACAGAAAACAGGATGAACTGCCCAAGCTGTACATCCAGCTGCCGATACCCAGATTCAATGCACAGAAGAGAGTATCTCACTCCAAACTCTAAGGCCTCCCACCACCCCACCTTGGAAAGTCTTCAAAATCATTTCTTTCTGCTTCACATTTCAAAAGAAACATATATGGTGTTTGTCAGAGCACGGTGCCAAACTTCTGCGCTGGCTTTAACTCACACAATCCACGTGAGCAACAGGGACGTTCTTCCACACCTGATGAATTTGCTCTGACCCACCTCCAACCCATGATGCTGGCTCAGAAGGTATTTCTGAGAAAACTTCGATTTGCCTTAGGAAAGCCAAATCGAAGCAAACCAAGTCCTTCTGGTGAGGACGCCCCTCTCCCTCCTCCCAGGTGACCGAAGGGCAGCTGGCACTGTCCCAAGACTTTGCTTTTGCTGTTCCCAGTTCTAAAACAAGCCCAAACATTAAACAAATCCACAAAGAAAACATATGCTGTGGGACAAGCACAACCAGGACGTACTGCGCACCTCTGGGACCCAATAGGAAGCAGGAACCATCTGAGCTCAAAGGAGCAGGGCTAGTGGATCAATACATGCGACTACACAAGTGCTGCATCCTTACCTCATTTTATGAAGTTTTAAAATCCATGGTAACTATTTAACAGTCAGAATTAAACACAGATCCCCCTGGATGGACATTATAGGCATGTTTTTCTTTTATTTTAAAGCTCGGTCTTGCTGTAAGAAGTGGAAATTAATAATTTCTGACAGATTTAAGCAGGGCCTTTGCAGCAATTAAACATTTCCTGCTAACAGCTCCTTACAAGACCTTAAAATGCTCCCCAAAGCCCACTCTTCACAATCATGTATAACTCAGTAAGGTGTTGAGAGGCTATTCTTTTCCCACCAGTATATATATATCTTTCAAGAAAGCCCAGCTAATCTTCAGTCTTATCAGGGCAACAGAAGAGCACAACATAAGCTTGTCTTTACTTGAGTAAAGAGATGGACTTGCCAACGCTGTAAACTTCCAAAAATGGCAGATTTACTCAATTCAGCCCATAAATACCAGTGTTCTTTCTTTTTTCATTTCATAATGGCTGACTGATCAAATACGATGTTGACTCCTCTCCCACTCGCTTCCCTTTACAAAAGACCTTGGTCCCTCAAAAAGCCACACATGGCATGGCAAATGCTCTGCCTTGTCAAACAACTGGTGTAGTACGTTCGTTGGTTTTATTTCCCCAAGGAACTGAAGCATTTCAGCTTTGTTTGTACGTACCAGCAATCCTCACCAAAACAGCGACAGCATGTGTACTAAGTTGAATCAGGATTTTACTACCTGTAAATCAGTGATTTTACTGCCTGTCATCTAACTTATGGCTGTGCGCACAAAGTCGTTGAACTGCGCGTGCAGTAGATATTTCACAGAAATTACTTATTACTTCCCCCCCGCCCCGTTTTCTCCTGCTTAAATCAACCTATAGACAAACAACCCCAGGAGGGGTACAGAAATCAACCACAAAAGCACTTGTGCCTAATGTATGCACCTTGTTCCCTACCATAGAAGTCCAGGGTGTATTAGACTGCATTTCCCTACCACAAACAACACATTGCAGTAAGGACCACACTTATATCAATGCCCGTGTGATATGAGATGGATGCAACATCACCATCCCTGTCCCATCTCCACCCTGAGCATGCAAATTACCCTTCCAGACTGACTACAAGGCGCTTGCCTAAGCAGCTCCGTCTCAGTAGCTTGGTTTCAGCCACAGCTTTCGCAAGCCCATTTTATTCCTCAGCACAACAAACAGGAGTCAGCGCTAGATTGAAGAGGAGGTGGCAAATCCTTGTGCTAACACAATGGCAAAAATACATGCAGGGATAAATGGCTGCAAAGGAGACAGAGTTTCACCAGCCTTAGAAAAATCTGTTTGGGCCATTTTCAAATACAAATTGTACTTGAATTTGTATATTTTGTATATATTTATACGTACACACACACAAATATATATTATTTGTATTTTATATATATTTCTAAACACTGAAGTGTTTAGAAATAAATGAGTCACACGTGGCATCTCCACAGGTTGCACACCTTCGACTGCTTCAGTGGCGATAAAAAAAATGCTAATTGTGCGCGTTAGTTGAAAATGCTGCAGAAATTAGCATTAGATTAGTACTTCAAAATGGGTGGGAATGCCTGCACTGCCCCAAAGCAACTGTCAACATCTTCACCGTGAGGGAAGCTGATGATCTGCAGAAGGACGTCCCCATCATGCCAAACTGGTATTTTCCAATTAGTAACAATTATTGGGAAAGTATTGCTCACAGTTTTAGTAACAGCAGGACAAGGGGAAAACATACAGATTAAAACATGGAAAGGCAGCCAGAAGTTTACCTTTGGAGAACACTTGAAATGCATGCCAGGTACTGGGAGTGTAGTCACATACATTGTAATGCACCGATACAGGTAGAGTGTGCCAACTATACAGAAAAATCTTCTGCTAATTATAGACCTAGAAGAAAAAAGAGGGGAAAAAAAAAAAAGAGAGGAAAAAAATAAGGAGCTCACTCAATGCAAACAACATATGCAAAGGTCACTAAAATAAACTACCAACTGTTCTCAATGCTTTTGAAATTTGTGACAGTATCAGCTTACACCTGAGAATACTGAATTACTTTACAAATATTCCCACGCTTTACAGGTCAGAAACACAAGAGCAACTCAACATTACCCATGAAGGTGGTTTCAGGAAATAGAAGGATTAGAATACAAAAGCCTGTGCAGAGTTAGTGTTGAAGACATTAAAAGGAATTTCATGCCCCACACCCCTCCATTAGCTTTGAGTGGTCACTAATTTTCTATTCAAGGCAGGGGATAAAGTTACAATATTTTCATTATACGATGAAAAGAAGTAAGTTTATTATGGCTGACACACACATTGAGTAATTACAAAGGCCTGCTTGAGAAGAAATAGCTTGTATGACCCAAACGAGCGAGAACACATCTTTTCTGAGCAGCATTAAAGACGAAGCAATTCACATCAGCAACGAAACCTCCAAAACACAAATTTAGAGCTGCGTTGGCTACAGGACAGGCTGTTTTCAAGGGAAGCCACTCTAAAGGCCAGCAGCCATAGCTGCAAAGAGATTCATTCACTGAAGGTTGCCAACGAGTCGCTGATGTACGCAGAGAGGGCAGATGCAATTTTGTGGTACCGTGATGCAGTTCTGCAAAACCAGCAAGAGCATACGGGGTAAAGAGCTGCAGCTTCAACTCAGGAGTGACAGCCAGCCCCAAAACTGGCCCGTTGAGTTTCACTGCTATGTACCAGCTGATAACATCACAAGGAAAGAGCTATGACAATTAAACCCCTTCTGGCACATCCATCAGGGTGGGAGCAACCTCTATCTGAGCTTGCCAAAGAGAAATCGCTGCCAGCGTTACAAAAACCAAGGGCAAATCCAGTTACAGCAGTTTGTGACATTAACCACATCAACCCTTTGCATCCTGCAAATACAGACCCTGTTGATTTTGGTTGATTTTAAAACATTGTTATTTACAATTATGATCATTTGGGGAATACAAGGGTTACAACACAAGAAGCAAGTTCTGGTATTCATTTGTTACTACTTTGAAGCATTCACTTTTTAAAAAAATAATATTTCTATCAAGCCGAGTTCTTTCAAAGCTCAAGATTGGCCATCTTTTTTATTTTTAATAGCTTTTGGCAGAGTTACTGTAGTGCCCCACTCTCAGAGGAGGATGACTTTGGAGTGTCAGATCAGTAACAACTCGAGTGTCTTAATTTATCAGAAAAGCTTCAACTATTACAGTGTAAATGCATTTTGCACTTGAGTGCTTACTGCTATTGAAACACAGTACTTCATATTTTTTCTTCCCCCTTCCTGGTATAAACATGGACAAAGCTGGGAGTTAAAAATTATACTTTATTAATGTAGCTCCATGGACTGAAATTTCAGAGTGGAAGGCACCATGCCATTGGGGCAGTGGCTTTCCTCTGTATTTCATATGTGGAATTTTTCTCTCAGAAGGGTGATCCAATAAAGATCTCACACTTGTGACTGACTTTTATAATCAGACATGAACTTCCTTTTCTTTATAATCTGGTATAAAGACAAACAGGGGGGGCTGGGGATTAAAGACTGAGCAGCACTGTATTTCGAAAGACCAAAGAAGCGGCAGTGTTTTATTGAGCACTGAACTTTTTTTTTTTTTTTTTTTAAATTAAAATTACCCACAAACCTACTTGGTTTAGCTGGATTTAGCATATTTTAACTTAGGAAAGTCTGCGTCAAAGTGCTCTGTACTGTAATATAAAAAAAAAAAAGTAAAAAGCCTCATATTTTCCCTTCTCAAAAGGATTTGTGTGTGCGCTTGTGTGATTACGAGCCAGCTAGCAAGTACAACCTCTAAACTTATTAATGGCCAAGACAACTTTTATTACAACTATCCAGACCTCACCTAACATGGGTAGCCAGCATGCTGCTTTTTCAATCCCATGAGTGTGCAGGCTGAATCAGATGTCAAGCATGGCCAAAACCCAGCATTGTACTTGTCCCAAAACATCTGGGAATGCTTCCCAGAGAAGTAATCCTGCCTCAGCAGCTCGCCTGGACTCCTCAAGCTCCCCGCAGTGTCTGCAGAAAAAGGTTTGGGCAGCCCGGAGTCCCCAGCCAAGACCTGCACACCCGCCCTGCTCCTGCTTTCTGGTGAGAAACCAACCCAATGCCATGGACAGTATTCTGTATGGATGTTCACCGATTTCCTCACACCAAATCTAGTGCTTTGCCCCGAAGCCAGCCAGAAACTCCAGTCTCCACCTGAAGGTAAAATTAATTTTCAGGCAAGAAGGCAGTAACAGGGGCCAAGGGAAACCCTGCACTGTGGTTAGCTGGACAGACACACCAACGCCCTCTTCCATTTTGGCCCCAACTTTGCAGTCCAATAAAGACACATAAGTCCTATTCAACACCATCATGCAATCCCTGGACTAAACAAGGAAGACCTGAGTGATCAGTATTACGAATGACACATCTCTATCTCTACTTCATTGCTTGGGAGAACAGCAGGCTTGGCTTGGATGAAATCAGGTCATCAGCAAATAATGGATCTGGTAGGATAAGCAATAGGAATTTCACTGCTTGGCAAAGAAAAATGTTTGAAAAAGTCTGAAACTATGGAGCTGCCTCCTTCGGGCAAAGGTTCAACCCAGCCACTGTCTGCAATTCAGCTCACGGGTAACAATGCTGCTGGTTCACCAGTGACCCTGAGTTTGCACTCGGAGACATCCATGAATGGTATCTCTATCATCTGAGTAGGGGAGGAACCAGGTCTCATCCTGCCCAGCAATCACCTGGCTTCACATCTTATCATCAGATCTCAAACACAGTGTGGCAATGGTTATCCCCGACACCATCAGAGAAGTGAGGAAGGTCTAGCTGGCATAATTCCTTTCCTTTATTCTTGAATTAAGTTTCAAAGGGAGGTGATAACCCATGCCACAAAAGTGATTCAGCTCTTTTTATAGCACTTAGAGGTTCACCATCCAAAGCCACGAGAATGAGGTCCTCCAGATAAAGCCACCTCACTGGGCTCCTGTTCCCATGAGCCCCTCTCCCATTCTTCCGTTTCTGCTCCTTACCGACAGCTTGGGCCTCTCAGACTTCGATACTTCTGCTCACTGACACAAAAGATGACTTTTGGTCTTCAAGGCATTATGTAGTCAGTACACAGGCTGACCAGCTATTCCAGGGCTGATACTGGGAATGGAAAGCTCTGTGACTCCCTGACATCTTTCCCTAACACCAGAAGAGCCCTTCTAAAGCAAGCAAAAACAAACACATCAAAGCAAATGGGGGTGGGGGGGAAATCTTCACATTTATCAGCGATACCAACATACTTTGTCATCAAGTTGACCCATATCTCACTGCTTCGAAATCTCCAAGGACCTTATGGATTCTGCTGTTCTTAATCTAAAGATTCTGCTCAGCTCCATCACAGGGTGTTTGATGCCTTATATTGCCCTACTAACCTGACACCCCATTCTTGAGAGCAATCCCATGTCACCTTCTCTAGATGCTTCCCTTGGTTTTGAACAACATTTATGCTCAGAGACCTCAAGAAAGTTAATGGTCCCCCATGTTCACCATAGGCAGCTGGAGCAGCAAGGAGAAGAGCTGGAGTGCAGCTGGTAGCACTGCAGCTACCAACATATGAGTGATACTGAAGCTTACAGCCATAAACAAAACAAGAGGCCAAGCCAGGGCAAATACTTCCTCCTGTACGTATGTGCACATTAAAAAAAAAAAAAAAAAAAAAAAAAAAAAGGCAATTCCACAGTTTTTTACAGTCCTATAATAACAATAAAATAACCATTCTAGAAACTTTCCTTTTTGAGGAACGCCACCTCTGTAAAAGTGTGCAACGGTTTTAAAATTTCACCTGATAAAATACATCAAGCAGTATAAAGCAGCAGAAAAGATGAATAAACCATCTCAGTCTTGTGGATTACTTAAACATTTTTCACATTCCTATGGAAATCCACAGCTGTGTTGCACAAGGGTACCTTGTCCCAGCTTAGCAATTCTCTCTTTTCAAGACGCCTGTACCTTATGAAGCTGGTGAACCACATGCTTATGTTTAAGTTTTAATGTTTTTCTCCATTATAAGGGTGAGTGATGCATTGGCCTCTGTTTTTATTTCTTTTGAAAAGGGAAATCTATAATTCTAAGGTCATAACAAAGTCCTGTGAACTGAAGGATCTTGTATTTCACATGGTGCGGCCCAAATTACGTTCCTTCCTCAGTTTCCTACATAGGAGTCACAAAAAAGAGTCAGTGAATAGGTAAAGAATGAGATGTTGTATTAGCAGAGGAGAAGAGGAGACCCTCTTTGGGCTGGGCAGCTGTGGCGACATGCTTGTGCCTGGATTTTGAAAGGAAAAGTGATATGCCACCTTATACTGCATAAAGCCACTTGACTTTGAACACTTCATTCACAGCCATGGCAGCACAAGGGTTTATAATCAGACACTCGTGGTAAGGCAGCCCAAGGTGTGGATTTATGGCAGTATAAATACCCTCTACAAAGAGCGTGCGGATACTTAATTTAGAGTGATAGGTTAGTTCCACTGGCAGGCAAATTCACCCTTGCAATTCCGACAAGTATGAGCAAGGAGGCAGACAACCACTAAGACCTTGCAAATTCAGCACATATCTATGCTTTTGCATATTTTATGATTAGCTTTTGACATACTTTGTATTTGACATTACCTGTTCCATCTAATGTCAAGCAGAAAACGTACTTCATTTTTTCACGCAGCACTGGCTAGGTGCACGGACTAAACCACTGCCTGTTGTTTTTGTCCAGGAGTATCATGATCTTAGGGTAGGTCTTTACATCAGGCAAACTACAGAGACACTACATTGATCCCAAGTTGGTTCACAGCTGCTTTCACAACAGTGTGAGCTGTGCTCTCTCTAAACAGACAGGACAGTCAACTGAGTTAAGAACATCATTACATCCAATTCATGGCTTTTCACACACAAGAAGGGTTCAAGTTAATTGTGCAGGCAAACAAGACCAGGGCTAGTTTCTTAGGTAGCAGTTGGACCGAACTTCTCCCTTTCGCACAAGCAGCCCACACAAACTGCAGTTTGTCTATGGCATGATACCTATTTCAATTTAGGAAACCAAAATCAGATAGATCACAAGAAACTTCATTTTATTTGGATGTAAACCAGTATCTCATCTCCAAAAGCTGTCAGAAGTATACCCTAGCACTCACTTTTCAAAAGGTTTTACTTACTTGTATTTTAAAAGCAGCCACTGAACAAGCCACAGTCCTACAAGGATCATGCCATTGATTTCACAAATAGAAAAAGCCCATTGCACCCGATCAAAGCGATCAAAAAATGCATCTGGTAGGGGAGGTTGCTCCTCCTTGGGAGGCACTCGTTCATGAACGACTGAGATAGTCACTGTGGTAAAGATGAAACAAAAAAGTGCATAAATAAAAGCCAGGATAGTCTTGCTCCATTCCACAGGATACTGTGAGCGCTCTGGCTCTGGCATGGGGATCTTTATCATCTCCTTCTTATACCCATTTGGCATCCCGTTCAGCTTCATTTTACTGCTGAAGCCATTCTCGCCCATGGTGTTGCTCACACCGACGCGGATGTGCCCGTTGATGTGCCCATTTTTGTGAGCCTCGATGTGGTGAGCCATTTTTAAAGTTTCAATCATGTGCAATAGCCGCTGTCCGCTGTCGGAAGACACCCGGGAGAGAGGTGTCTTCTTAAAATCCTCCTCTGTGAGGTTGATCAAATCCTGCCCGGTGAAGCTCTTCAATGGCTCACAATACTCCGGCACAGCATTTTCCGTTAGCCAATTCGTCACCTCCTCGGGTGACCACAACACCACTTCATTCATCTCGCCAGGCAGCCGGGGCACAGTTTGACATCGATTTTAAATTGGGCAGCAGTCACTGCGACTCCAGCGCATCGGAAAGCTCCTCCTTGGCTTCATCTTTTCCGAGGAACCAGTTTGGCAAGAGGCAAGTCCCTGTCTCTAACCGTCCGATACGAGCACCCAGGCGCTGTGGCAAGCATAGGAAACAGTTCACTTCATATTCGTGTTGGCATTCTTCTTCCTGGGGAGGGGAAAAACCCAAAACCAGTCATTAGGACAGTATTTACCAAGAGTTTGCAATTCATATTTAAAGACAAAATTACTGCAAAAGAAAAGCTAGATGCTGGCATGGAAAAGACTAACTGATTTAAGCTCTAGCCTTATACACACAGCACTGTCCTTTCCAAGCTTGCTACTGATTTCTCAAGAGCTTTAACAGTTTTGTATTATAAACACCACTTTGCAGCTGTGCGAAGGACTCCTTCCTGCTCTGTATTTGTAAAATTTTCTACTACTATGCAGCTCTGATCTGTAACCAGTACCCAAACACCTCTTAAAATCCTAGTACTACTGGATTTAAGGATCTACAGCGCAAATGTTCAGTGTTATTCACGTAACAAACCACCTCTCCTCCTTACAGACTGGTATCTTAATGCAGTGTGTTGTACCTAATTATTGAATCAAAAGCCTAATTTTTGCCTTGCAGAACAAAAACATCTAGTGTACCACAAAAAAGGATTTTCTACAGATCAGCAACACAAAAGAAGTTATGTAAATAATCAAGGTTATACTCTCTGGGCCAAAGCACCAGCAGGAAAATCAATGGCCAAACAGGTTAGCATGAAAATAAACCGAAGGATTTCAGTTTGCAGGACTCTAGCAGATGTTTAGCAGCTCTTCAAGGTAAATTTTACAGTTTGCATGGTATACTGCTACAATTCAAATAAATGTTTGTCATCACCTAACAAAAGGAACCAGTAGAAAAATGAAAGTGAAACTTAAAAAATAAAAAAGGAACTAGGTAACAAACTTCTACACCCAATTAATTACAAAAATATCTTAGAAAGCTTAGAAAAGCTGGTCATCAAAAAATTACAGGAAAACAGATGTTACTTGCTGGAACTTCTTCCTGCATTTTTGAGACACGAGCAGCAAAATCCTCAGCACGAGGCAGCAATCACATGGCAGTGAATGCCACCAGCACATTCCCAGGTTTGAGATGTTTATTCAACGAACAAACAAAAACTGGTCCTCCGCAGAGCAAAGAGAGGAAAACAATTAGAACCCCTGTCTCCAGCCTGCCATCCCATGCACTGAGCCTCTCCTGCGGGAGGCTGCAACACCGTAAACACAAAGTGACCTAAAGAAAGTAACAGCATGAGGAAAAAAACACTTCATATTTTCAAAAGCTGTATCATGTCTTTATCAGCTTAAATAATATTTTTAGCCTCTTACAAGCTACCAGATGTTTGTGTTTCATCACAGGGAGCAAAGTTGCCACTGAGGAAAACCAAAATAATCTACACTACTGGCATGACTGGAGTAGAAGTGGTACAAAAGAGACACAGAGCTATACTCCCATGCAAAACGTGACAATGCTGCACATAAATATATTTTTTTGACCTGTTACCTCTAAACTGAGCAAGAAACACAAGGTGCAGTTTTTAATCTGTTTCTCTGTGGAATGAACCAGGTCTGGTGATTGAGAAAAGAAAAAGCTTTGGACGAAGGACTGGTAGTACTTCTTTCTTTTTTTTAGTGGGATTATATGTACTGAGGAAGGCTTTTAGCCACAGATCCCTTCATTATTCAAGTTGTGTTTAGCGAACTGGTATTTAGTTACACGGCCCTGAACATGGACAAAAATGATGGATTGAATTATGCATGTTAACCCACATTAGAAACTCCTACAAGACTTTGACCAAAGGAGAGCAGCTCAGCTCTCCACCACGCTGGTCTCTGCTGTACTCACTGTAGTCATGTTACCACAGGGCACCTGAAATCCTGGGTCTGGCACCAGCTGCAGCACAAAGCTTAAGCACGAACCCTGCATTCTTACTCCATGCCGGAGAGAGTTGGTGTCACCAGCAGTTATGGGAAGATGTTTTGCCTCCAGCTCCCCATTTGGACTCAGTCTGTGCATTAAGGGCGATGTCAGCCTTGAGCTACCCCACTTACTAATGCCTGTGACTCGACTTGCTCACTGCAGACCAAGGAGATGGAAACATCATCACCTTTTTGATGTCCACAATATTTCAGTCTCAAGTGATGCACCACTAATTCACAACTCAAGGAATCAGTGTCTAAGTGAAGGAAAATCCAACACACACTTTCACACTTGTCCTAGGGTCAAAACTCAGGTTGAAATCCATGAGATGCAGCACCAGAAACTGCACAGGATCAAATACACAATGATGGCACGGGGCTCACCAAGGAGCAAGAAGCTACTGAGCAGAAAGCTTCAGTCCTCACGGATGATGTTTCTGGGAGCACAAGCGTAGTGCTGGCCAGGTGCAATCCCAGCCCGCTGCTATCACACCACCAGCATGTAAATCACTATCAAGCACCTTTTGTAAAAGCACAGTAACTGATACTCATGGGAGGAAGGCTTAGAGGAAAGATAATACTCTGCCAAGGACACAGGCCATGGAGTTGTTTTCATTGAGAGCTAAAATGAGGAAAAAACAACTAAAATTTCTAACGAACACCTATCATTCAAACCTCCATTTCACAGCCTGTCTAATGGGGGAGGAACAGGCAAAAAAGCTTCTTTACACCTTCCAGCTTGTCACATTGAAAAATACCTCGTTTTCTATCATGTGTTCATGAAAGCTTGATCGGGTGAGGTTCACAGAAATGACATGGGAGACTAACAACCCTCATTGGCCCCCTTGCTTCCACAAAAGGTCTTCTCCTGTCCACAAAAGCTGACGACAGAAGGTGGGAATGCATTGGCTGCTGCTAGGCCACATCCACCGGCTTAGCTTGGCCTCACTGCCCCAGCAAGGCATGCGGACGCGTGCCCACCCAAGCCTCCCCAGCTCTGATACAGGTCATTAGTCTGGGCCAGGCAACTAAAATGCTCCCTCCACCCGCAGCAGATATGCTTCATTAAGGAGCCTGTATCTGTTAACAAATTATAAATAACAATGTGATTATCATAATAATACCAATCACATTACGATAATGATGCCATGTAAAACCAGTATCTCAAAATACCCACACCACAAGATTGAACAGAGTGAAATAACCAGCAAGGGCTCCAGTCCGCACCTCCTTGTGTTTACATGACCTTTTTTCCCCTGTTCCCAGCAAACATTAAAGTGCTAACTCAAAACTTTCAGATCCTTTTCCACTTTCCTGACAGGGAGTATTTACCACCACCACTTCAATTTGCCCATATGAGGGTTGCAATATCATGACCACAGCCACCCCAGTGGGTTAAACAAGTATTTGAGAGCACACTGCATAACCTTGCGTACCAGGATCTGTTCTCTTTCACATCACTTTGCGGAGATGTGGTTGAGCATAAGGACCGAACATGGGAGCATCCACCTCTTTGGTTAAAGGACAAGATAATCAGCAATAAAATCATAGCTGGCTACACCTCCATATTTGACTTGGCAGCCAAGGTGCAGAAGACTCTGCAGTTTTCTGTCTCTAGGTCTGCACAGAGGATAACTAAGCACTCACGTTGGACGTCACTGTTTCAGATTTCATTTCGAAGTCCGTGGGATCACTGCTGAGCAAGCGATGGACATCCCCTGGGCAGGCAGCGCAAGTCTTGTCCATGGAGCAGTAACCTCCCTCTACAACCCCGGAGCTGGCTTACAGGTTAACACACCACTCCCTATTACCTCTAAACTTGCAAGCAGAAAGCATTACATCTCACAATTAACACTCATGAGGACAAAACCACATCTACCTAAAACAGAAAAAAAAGACCCCCAAAACCAGGTTGTTAATCTCCAATCTCCTCACTAAAGCACTTTGAAACCCGACTGAAGAAAACCTAAGCCTTCCCAAATCAAATCATGCCTTCCTCATGTTTGTACAGTGCTTTTATTCTCTAAGTGAGGACCTTTGCTGCCAAGGCAACAGTCACTATAGATATCAGTAAAATAATCAGCCATTTCAGAAACTGCAACGAGCTCCTCACCAGGAGCCAAGGAGATTTTCAAATCCTTTCAGAGGCAGCGGGTGTGTTTCAGCTGCAACACTGAGCATCCTTCCCAAAGACCCCAGAAAAGTTGAGATGATAAAACCATTAGTAAAAAATAGTGTAAAACAAGTGAGGTCCAGGGATAAGCGCAGTTTGAAGATAAAATAGTGATAATTTCTTCCTTGGAAAACAAACGCTGAGATGCACACCGATTATGTGTGCACACACATAAGCAGGAAAAAATCCGACTGCTGTAAGGATTGAAGTTTTAATGCTTTAGAAACCAACCCACAAGTGAATTCCCCAAACCCCCCGGTGAGGAGAAGTTACACAGAGACCAAATACTCTGGTTGAAAGCCGGGAGCTCTCATCCTGCATTTTTACAGCACAAAACAAACTGTTTGTAACAGCAGGGTCTGAGTCACTGCTACAGTCGCCTCCTCTATAGGCATTTTATCGTCACTCACAATAATGCTCTGACACCTCAGTAACTGGATGTCCTGTACTTGCAAAGCACCTCTGCACACCAATTTGAAACGAAAGGGCAATGCCTGCCACAAATTATGTGCTGGATATTACCAATGAGCTCTCAAGCAATATACCAAATTGCTTCCCTCCCTCCAGGACAGCCTTACCTCCAAATCAGAGACTGCCCCTTGCAAGAGGCTGCAGCACTAGAAAGCAAAAGACTGTTGGCGTTTTAAAACATCACAATAAAGCTAGTTTTGTGCTGTAAATACAAAGATATGCAAATACAAAATATCTGTAAGTATAAAATTGAGGCACAGATGGGCTCACGAGTTTCACAGAGCTCTGAGATAGGTTTCCAAGGTCGGTCCCAGATGGAAAACATTGTCTTGCAGACACAAAGTCAGAGCAAGCAGAATTACTACTACGAAAAGAGAGGCTGGGATCAATATGCGAAGCAACGCCCACATACCCTGAATAGCTACTTACGCAGCTTCAGAGAGAAAAAAAAATTGTCTGCATACTACATAAAACCCTGAGCAGCCCATTTTTTCTAAATTACTCTTTAGGAAGGGGGGGGGGGGCGG